TATGTATGTATGTATGTATGTATGTATGTATGTATGTATGTATGTATGTACTCACACACGTGTGTGCGTGTGTGCATGTGTGTATTTCGAAGGTGGAGATTTTAAAAAAGACCACCTGTAAACCACAGGTCTCAACTTCTGTTTGTAAAGCTCGGCTCGCTGTCTTTTTAATCATGAAGAAATTTAAAAGGGGGAAAATAAAATCAAACAACCTCCTGCAGTTAGCGTTTCCCAACCTTGGCAATTTCCAGGTATGTAGACTCCCAATCAGTCCCAGAATTCTGCAGAAAGCATCACCCTTGACAAAATTCGGTGGGGGGCAGGGGTGAAAGTCCACACACAAGTGAAGCTGCCAAGGGAGGAAGCACTGTTCTGCGAGATTGCTCAATCGGATTTTTCAAGCCAAAGTTCTCTCTTCATTCCACACAACCAGGTGAATTCGATTTTTGTTTGTTTGTTTGTGGGGGGGAAATTAGAACCTGGTCAGAATTTGGATTGTTTCTCGTTAGAACAATAACTTGGTTCAGTAGGGTGGACTTTTTTTTCTTTTTGCTCTTAGCAATCCCATAGAATTGTCATTGATTCAAGGAGAACTCATCCTCTCTCCGTCAAACAGTGTTTTGGTTAGTGTTTCTTATCCAATGCATAATATTTGGAGCCGGTTGTGTATTTGCCCTTTTGTTTTCTCCTGAAAGCCATAACTGTGAAGATGCCAATTCAGGTTGGCTTTAAATTGTCGAGAGGAGCTTTGATATTTTAAGAAACGGTTGCTGGTGTCAAGGTAGCTCCAGGCCCAAACCAAAAATGTCGACAACTTCCCCTCCCCACTTCTAAATGTCAGTTTGGGATCCTTGTTTGGGACAATATTCTCGTGCCGTTTTGCATGTTTATTTTACAGCAGTCGTACGCTGTCACTCAAACTACACTAAACTTTCTTTGTGATTTAGCCTAGAGCTAGGAGTGTTTTCAGCCAGACAGTATGAAATGACTTTGAGAGAAAGTAAGTATTTGTTCTTTCCACCTTTACCATTCCATTCCCCCATCCTTTGAGGGAGAATAATCTTCCACTAAATATCTTTTTCTCCCAGGTAATATCAGTTTGAAATACCGTAAGATATCTATCTTGGGTTCAGCGGGGACCCTGTGAGATATGAGCTCTATATTGCTGTAGATGAGAATAATTTCCATAGATGCATCATACATGATGTTTTAATCCAAAGAAGAGCGGATCTCTTGACTGGTATTTTTATGCTTCAACATGGATGATTAGCAAATCTGATTTCCCATCCCCAACTACCATTGGATTTAAGGGACAGATTGCCTTTTCAGCAAGATGTGCTTAGCTGTATATACCTCTATTCTTTGAATTCTACCCCAGAGCAAACAGAGAACAAGGAAAAGGGGCCCTGGAGAAACCAGGGAAAGCTGATATAAAGGTGTTTCATTAGCTTTCCCGGGTTTGGTACCTTTCAGAAGTATCAGGCTAGTTTCTTAATCTCCTTGTCCCTGTAGCAGTGTTCTGACCTAGGCTTCCCAAGATCATGAAGCAAACTCCTTGTCCCGAGTTTTGCAAGGAGTCTCGGGGAGTCACCAGCCAATTAAGAGAACTAATTGTCTCCTGCAAACTCCNTGCGGAGTATCTTCAAATCCTGGACCAGAGATTTGGTCTTGGATCCAAGCTGGTGCCAAAAAGGATCTAAATAATGATGGATTGTCTGGAATTACAGCATTGGGAATAATGGTTAGTGCGTGATGCAGTGATCTACGCTTGATCCAAACCAGCTGATCTCTTAACAGATTTAGTAAGAGCTATACCGCTTTACAGTGCTTTACAGCTCTCTCTAAGTGGTTTACAGAGTCAGCATCTTGCCCTCAACAATCTGGGTCCTCCTTTTACCCAGCTCGAAAGGATGGAAGGATGAGTCCACTTTGAGCTGGTCAGGATTGAACTGCTGGCTATGGGGCAGAGTTAGCCTGCAATACTGCATTCTAACCACTGTGCACCATTGAAGGAAGGAAGGAAGGAAGGAAGGAAGGAAGGAAGGAAGGAAGGAATCGGTTTACAGAGTCAGTCTATTTGCCCCCAACAATCTGGGTCCTCATTTTACCAACCTCGGAATGCTGGAAGGCTGAGTCAACCTTGAGTCAGTGAGACTTGAACTGCATTCAATACTGCATTCTAACCACTGTGCCACCACGGCTCTTTTATTTAATCACTCGTTGCCCTGTTCCAATGTTCAAATTTAGCCAGAATTTTTGTCCTTTCTTTGAAAGTAAGTGCTTGAATTATTTTGCATAGATAAGTGAGACAGAGATTATTTCATTATACTGAGAATTTTCTATAAATGCTTTAGAAATAGTTAAATTCTCTAGTGTGGCCCACCTGCTGTTTGACATAATATTACTTTTCAGAGGATTCAATTTTAAAATGTTGTATTTGTGGGCTCTGGTCTTTACACTTTCCATTACGGTGAGCTACAAGTCATTTAATTATCCACTCTGAAGGCAAATGTGTGCTCATTGCACATGTGCTTATTTTTTGGGTGCACATCCATGTATTTGAGCAAAGGCAATAGGAACTTTGCTCTGGAACTTTTGACTGTTTGACATCTTAACACCTCACACCCAGGGAGAGTCATATTATTTGGAAACAATTCAAGGACTTAATAAAACAACTTTCTTAAGGAAAATGTCTATGGAGATTCTCAGTCATGGTTGTCCTAAAGGTGTTTTTTTTTTCAAGAGGCAACTGGACTTCCTGATTTTTCTTTGAAGACGTTTCGCTTCTCATCCAAGTAGCTTCTTCAACTCTGACTCGATCTCCTTCCGTTCCCCACTACCATCCAGTCAGAGCTGAAGAAGCTTCTTGGATGAGAAGCGAAACATCTCCAAAGAAAAACAAGGAAGTCCAGTTGCCTCTTGAAAAAAGCACCTTGGGGATTTCTTAAGGAAAGTCCTTGGATTCTTTTCTGGACTGATTGAACTCAATTTAAGTTTTATTATTATGCTATAGATATTAGGGTTTGTTTTTAGTGTTTTCCTACCCGCCCTGCATATTTTATTTTAAATATTTTTTTACATAGGGTTTGTTCAACATTGTATTTTGTTTCTACAGGTATTTCCTCCTACCTCACCTAACACAGTCTTTTCCTATCAGAATTCGTCTGCTACAAACCTTCAGCAACCTTTGTTTAAGCCAGCCTCAAATACGACGCCTCACTCAGGGAACCAAGCACCCCTAGTGCAAAATGGACCGAATCCTCTTCAGAAGGTAGCGCTTGTTCTCCATTGTAGAAGCCTGTCCCCCCGAAAGAGCATCGCTCGAAGGCTTGAGACAGCTCACCTGGGATGATCAGAGTGCACCTCTTTGCAGTGTTGGGGATTACCTCTTACGCCCAGGGGGGGTGCATCTTGTTCTTGCTCACATTGTAGGGAACATGTGCTAGAGGTAGGCATTGTCACGGACCTCAAAGCTCTCGCGTGTACATACAAGTATTTTGCACACTTAGAATAGCAATAGCACTGAGACTTAGATATCGCTTCTCGGTGCTTTACAGCCCTCTATTAAGCGATTTGCAGAGTCAGCCTATGGCCCCAAACCATCTGGGTCAGTGGTGGGGTCGGGATCCCGTTCCAACCGGTACGGTTGGAATGGGCCCGGCATCGTCCACATGGACGTGCGCAGTGTGCATGTGCACAGCATGCGCATGTGTCTTACCGCTTCCGCAAGCATCCACAACGCTCCAACTGCTCAGCGGAGCTTTGCGCAGGTGCTGTACATGCCGTGCATGGAAGCACCGAAGACTTAAAAGACTGGTAAGGAGCTCGGGTGGGCGGGCCCTCCGGAGCACCGTACCAGAATGATATCTGGTGCTCTGGGCAAGCTCCGGTACGCCTCTACCGGGGCGTACTTCCTGCAACCCACCACTGAACTGGGCCCTCATTTTACCAACCTCGGAAGCAAAGGGGGTATCCAGCCAGTTCTGGCAGGTTCTAGAGAACCGGTAGCAGAAGTTTTGAG